AAAAAAAGAAGAAGAAGAAGAACCACTCCACTCCCTATTATTTATTGTTTCTTGCTCTCGAATATCTGGTTGGCTACAAGTAGCTTCACTAAGAAGCACAAACAGAAATTCAAAACATTAATCTGTTTTAACAATAATCAACACTTGTAAAATGTTGGAATTTACCAGTAGGACGATGTTAATAAAATGTTGATCTTATTCTCATGAACCTAAATCTAAATGAATGTTAGGAACATAAATGTAATTACATTTGTTAATTTACATGATTAGGCTTTGTTTCAGAATATGTGTGCATTTTTATTTAAGTTTTTTTTTTTCCTTCAAAATTTTACGGTGTTTGAGTCTCCGGCTAATATGTAGAGATTATCACGTGATAATTAGTACTACAAAAATTGTTACGCGTTGAATATGCGGGAATTGTTACGAAACTTAGCTCAAAGTAACAATATAGAACAATCAAATAGACAACAATGTAGAGAGGAAGAGAGAAGAGAATCTTATTTCTTCTATGTATTCAAGTGTATACAATGTGATGCCAAAACCCTCTATTTATTACATAGAGGCATACAAAAGAATGCCATAAACATGACATTAAACATTTGAGATCATGGAGGAAGATCATGGGGAGGTTATGGAGGTGTGAGAGTTACAACTACAATGGTGAGAAGTAGTGGGAGTTATCTACATAATGGAGAAGAGTAGTGGGAGTAACTTCTTTAGGAGTTATAGACATCCACTACAAAATAATATTTCATAACACTCCCCCTTGGATGTCTATAGATAATGTGCCTCGTTAAAACCTTACTAAGAAAAAACCCTGTGGGAAAAAAATCTTAGTGAAGGAAAAAAGAGTACACATATCTTGTAATACGCATTATTTGCTGCCTCATTAAAAACCTTGCCAGAAAAACCCAGTGGGATAAAATATTAGCTAAGGGAAAAAGAGTACAACGCGTATTTGCCTCCCCCTGATGAAAACATCACTTTATTCTTCGGAGACGACGAATTCCAAGCTTGTATAACAACTTCTCTAATATTGAGATCCGCAATGTCTTGTGAAGAAGTTTGTCAAATTATCACTTGAATAAATTTGTTGAAGAACTTTGGTGAATGTGCTTTATTTTGTCTCCTTCGATAGTCCTTCTGTCAATTGATATAAGCAAACAACATTATCTTCAGTATTATTGGAATCTTCTCTTCAAAGTCAAGTCACATGTCTATTGTGTGTTGAGCCCCTTGCTTTATCAGTTGCTTATCTTGGCATGACTTGAATAAGTATCAACAATTAACTGCCTTGTAATATGATAATATGGCAGTACTCTCACATGCAAATAGAATGTTTGAAGAACGAACTTCAGAAAATGCCTGCATTTACATAACCAACAAAATCTTGGCGATATTTGTTAGAATAAACATATCTAAATCAAGTATTCCTTTTGAAATATAATACTAATTGTATTCCAATATCTCCACATTGAAATAAAACTATATCTTGCTAGCATATTGTTATACTCATGGTTCTAGCCAGATATATTAGTGCACCAATTGCACTAGACACAAAAATAAATCATGTACGCCATGATCGCTCTAATCTACATAAGGATCTGCCGAAGATTTATTTAATAAATTTCTTGGGAACCTTAATATGCTTCAGAACAATTTAAATCATTCAAGGATTTTCATTATATGCATATCAAATGTATTGTCAGACCCCCAACAGGAGAACATGTCTCCTAATACCAGGATATTTACGAAAATTTTGTGCCACAAGTCGTCTTTATGTCTATCGACTTGATTTTTCATTTCACTTTCAGGTGTGGGGACTATCCGTCCAACTTCACATTTTTCAGGTGAAGTCAATTTCATTGCATATTTTTCATTTGGCCAATCATTTATCTGTCCAAATTCCATGACAGATTTAAGCTCAAGATCCTCGTCAATATTAATAATATTGAGCGCTACATTATAGTAACAACATCGTCAACGATCATTTTACATTGGTTCCATCATCGCATAATAAGACATAACTTATCGAGATCTCATTATTTTCAGGTACCTGAGCCTCTCCCATGAGGTCGTATAAAATGTTATGTCATGGTGCTCTTATAAAGCACTTGCCTCCTTATTATGACCATCTTGAACATTTGCTCCTCTCCTTCTTCAAGGAGTTTTATCTTTGGAACCGATTAGTCTATTACGCTTCAAGAGTTCCATAGACTATGTCCATCATGGACTTTATTCTATTAGGAGCATTAGTAGCTGAAATTTGACATTTAGTTTGGGCCAGCAAATGCGCATGGAAATATTTTGCAAATGAATTATCACTTGAACTTCAAGTTCATATTTTCTTGTACGAGGATCTAATGTACTCATAATAATTCATTCCATGTATTACTTTTTTTTCAGCTGCTCATTTTCTCCCCCTAATGTTGGGATCACCAACATATATCCCCAACCTTCATTGAGACCAATCTTTGTGCATTGTGGTGGCATAATTAAATCATATAGTACATCCATATTTCTAGATGAAAATATTTGGATCCTGACCCTGAACCAATTGTGATGGGGAGAATTTATCATAACTTGTTGGCTAGATGCGTACAAGTGCTGTTGTATATTAAATAATATACTTAATACAAAATTTCTATTTGGAGTTTTGTTCTCATAACCAATGGTTTAGCTATATTTGGAGGCATACAATTTCTGCTAAACCAACTTGGATTTAAACCACCATTATCAAGATAAATTATCATAATCTATATTCTGGAACTGTGCTCTAATAATTTGAGCAAACAACCTTGCAAAAACCAAAGTGCAAGTTGATAACAAACGCACATGTGACCATACAATAGATGCATCTATTAAAATCATATAATAGTAAACGATCCACATGGCAGGTGATTGGGCCCATACATATATACACCTTTTATTCGTTCCAGATATCAAGGGATTCAATCCCAACCTTAACTGGTATATCATGAGAAAAAAAACATCACAAGAGAATTCTTAAAGAATCTTCTATTTCTTTAATATATTCCAATGTGAATTCTCAATCAATTTTCACATCATAATTGAACCAGGATGGTCAACCGGTCATGCCAACTAATATTTGTTTCAATAAACCTCTAGTTTACTTATGGCACGTGATTCCATCACGATGCTTATACATCTGTAGTACAAATAG